ATTGACACTCTCCATATGGATTATTATCTCCTCCAGTCACTCCCAAGTTCTTTGGGTTCTCCTTTAATAAGTGCAGTAGAGGTATTTAGTGTTATCTGCAGGTTATGGGCAGGGTTGAAGCTTTACATTTTAATGCTTTTGTAATGGATTTAATAGCTTCAATACTGAGGATATACCTCTTGCAAGCATATCTTCACATCTGAACTGGCTAGATACAAGTCAATGGGAATTTTTATAATTAACACATTCAGCTGTGGCAATGGTAACCCTGATCAAACAAATATCTTGTTTGATTTTCTTTCTCTTCACAGTAAGACCAATAAATTGTTTTTTCCCCTATAAAGTAAGTTTACTCCACTTTTAAAGAAAATGTGTTTCTCAGGAGTTTCCTCTAGTGTACAAGCCAAATATGCTGGTATTAGTATCATACAGACAATATCAGCAACATTAAACATTGAAAAACATGTCAGGGCCTCTAGAATAATAGTGTAGAATGAAAAAATAATTTCAAAAGGGTTCTCTATATTAGGTACTGTTTTTTTTCCTCTGTGCATGTTTTCTGGATTCTCAGTGCAACCAGAGCCTAAAAATTTACTCTTTTAAAAGGAATTAGATTTTCACATAATCAAACGACCCCAGGAACGGGAGCTTTAAAAAAATGAATATTCTAATTTTCAAGATAAAATCATTAGATCTGACAATACTGATTGCAGCTTATGTTGGTTACGTTTCATTAGGTTATATACAATACATAAAGCAATCACAAGCTTCTCAAGGTCAGTTAAGAGCAAATACAAAAATAGTAGTAACAAGGTCTGACTACTCGCTGATCACCAGAGAAGAGAGGGAGAACAGAGAATAGACATTTCCTTCTCTCTTAAACCACACTTACCTACAATGTCACGTAAGTGTGATTTGTTGGGAGCCGTCTACACCAGGAGAAAATTATTTGGTTGTTACCAGTGCTGAGGGACAGGGAATGGAAATGTCTGGGGTTTCTTTTTCTTCTTTCCCCCCCTGACCTTAATTTGCTTGCCTTCCTGAAGAAAAGACCTTGCTCTATCCTTTCTGCTGAGTCATTTCTCTAGAGGACGCCAATTAGGGACTCATTAAAAGAAATATCTCTTCCTAAGGAAAATCCCAAGAGTGCTTCAAAGCAGTCTCCCTGTCCAAGCTCTTCTGCAGTGGTTTTATTCTGTAGTTCTCTGGTGTAATCAAGTTTTTTTCTTTGGGTTAGATGTGCTGAGCAGTGACTATTTCAGTTATACCTCTTGGCTCCTGACTGTAACTCCTATGTGGGACTGGGACTCTCCGGCTATCTGTTCAGATCAATAATAAACAGAGTTCCTCACCTCAAATATGCTTTTTTTCTATCTCAACATACACACGTGCCTTGATTACTACATGTTGATGATACCACATTTGCTTCCTTACTGAAGATAGTTTGGTCTCCATAAAGAACAGATGCAAATATCCTAGATAAGGATGTATTGCCATTGGAGGATGTGACATTTCAGTTGTTTTATGCCCAAATAACATAATTTGTTACTAATGAGTCCTCTTTCCTTAGCATCATGTATGATAAATTCTTTTGTATATCTGTTTCATGGTCAGAGTTAAACTTGAGATCACTAGAGCTATACATTTACTGCTCTAGAGTTTTCCTGAACTTTTGGCCTCCTCCACTTGGGGCTGTCCGCTCTGGGTTGGGATTCATAGCAGGTGCTTATGTGATGTATAGTTACAGAATTGTTTGCCCATCTATCTGTGTTTTTCTTTCATATCTCTAACGAGGAGGTTCCTAAATGTGATTTGACATATTCTAGAGTGTGTGCATGGTATCAATTGTAATAACTCGCTCTTTATTTTACTTTTGGCTGTATTGCTATCTTTAGGCTAACCCTCCCCTCCCTTTTCTGCTGCCCATAGAGATGGCTCCTTCCCTCCCCTCTGGTTGCCAGGGTGACTGGGCTTCCCTGATGCAGATGCTCTTGCCTTGGCTCCTTGCCATCCCTCTCCCAGAGACTGGAGTTTTCACTTTCCCTCGAATGGTGAGGAGTCCTGTTTGCTCTTCTGCCTGCCCGGGCAGCTATCCTCCCTTCTAAGCAGACCTGGTTTAGCAACTGCTAAAAGGACAAGTGATTTCATGTGCCTGCAGGGTGGGATCAGCCAAGCCTCTGAGAGAAGTGGAAGTCACCTTGTATTATTCTTCCTTTTTTTTTTTTTGACTCTGATCCTTCTCCTTGAGCTGGAGTCCAGCCAGTTCTCACTCTCTTAATGTGGCTGTGATGATGAGAAAAAGGACCCTAGGGTGGTACCTATGCAGCAGAGGTAAAGCCTTTTTTATTTGTATTTCAGAATGGATAAATTCAATTTCCAGTGTTAGTGACATTGGAAAATGGATCCTTGCAGTACTTGTAAGCACATTTACCGTAGACATTTTGCCAAGCTTTAACTCAGAAATGAATAAACCTCAGGACAGGGCACTTTGAATTCAGGTGTGGAATTACAGGTTGTTCAGAAACTTTATTGAAGGAATTTGACTGTTTTCTGTCACTCAGCATACAGATATTGTGTGATCTTTATGTTCAGCCCCGAAATCCAAAATTTCAGATTCTGCATGCCTGTCCCAGGTTGCTGGTAAATGTGGCCCCATCTTGGAATCACTTGCAGAGGTCAGCCAGTGAACAATTTTGAGTTACGAATCAACGTAGAGTTGCAATTTGCCTGGGTATGACTCAGCCGCAACCATGAAGTAGTATTTTTAGTCAGTTAAGTTCTCTGAGTTATTTGTCCAGTTCTAGCTAAAATGCTCTTTTGGGATCCCAGTAAGAAAATCTTAGGTGTTGCAGGCGAAGAGTTTAGGGATGGAAATTTAGGGAATTTTCCATCCCTAGCCATGGAAAAACTACTATTTAGTACTTCATATTCTCTGCTTTTCTACAAGGCATGAGTATTTTGTCTCATCTATTGCCCTCTGTTTTCTCTGGCATAATTTTAAATGATTCAAATAATAGGACTCTTAATACTCTGTTCTGTGCTTCTGGGACACAATGACAAAGTGCATTAGACTGGTGCTGTAAGTGTAAATTATGTAAAGTTTCCAAATATTTGGACAAATGTAGTTCATCCTTCATCCTCTCTGCACTTTAAACATTCCATCTTTTGAGTTTGTTTCAATCCAGTTTGCTTGTTTTTAAAGTAGTGATATATACGCACATCTTTAAGGAGTAATGTCAACTGTGTTTTATAGGAAATCCAGGAACAGCAGCTACACCGCAGCTACCAGATATACTTGTAACCCTCAACATGCTTCCCTTTCTAACATATGGTTAATTATTTTTAAAACACACAACATAGAACATCTAGCTGAGCTCTGAAACATTATGTGCTTGTTCTTTTGCATGAAAAGTATTTATAAAAGCTTTTTCTGCAGTGGTTGGGATATTACGGTAAAATGCATCGGGCTACTTCCATTAACAAAGTTAGTAGGAAGCACTTGCTACAGCAGAGTTTGTAATGTTTTTACATCTAGCTGTAAGAAGGATGTTCTATATTTAAAGTACTTCCTTGGAAGAAGCATTGGAACAGTGTTACAGTTTTTTCCTGCCAAAAGTAATAGCTGTGGAAGGCTGCAAGAGCACCAGACTTATTACTGAAAGGTAATAGTCTTCCTATGCAAATGTAAGTTAATATTCAAGGGGTTAAATGGAACAAGGAATGATCTTAAATTTCAACCTTCTGTGCAGTCCTTAGTTTTATTCAGAGACATCAGTATCATGATATATCTTCACCACAACTGTGCTGCTGTGACTTACTGCCTGAGCAATAAAATATACACAGATTTTTGTATTGTGTATGCCATGCTGTGCTATAAATGTAAAAATTACTTTATTTGTCAATATACAATACTCTGAGGAATGTCTTATCTTATAGCAGTGGTAGGGGCAGGGAGTTTTTTTGACCTGGATTTCCTCAACACTTTCGGAAGGGCAGTTTGCAAATAAAGTGCAGGATTTATTAAAGACATTAGTCAGGGTTATTTGATGAATTTGGGCATTACTACATCTGAAATAACTTTGGATTGTTGCTTTCCTCTGTTTTATTATTAGGATAACAAATCTTTATAATGCTGAAATATTCACAACAATGTTATAGAGAAGATCCTTCATGTGTGATATAGGCTTGATTTATTTGCCCTGAATTAATGTGGGTGACTGACTTACTTGAAAAAGGTTGAAATGCAGTTAGTAGTTCTGCTAGTATTTGGCATTACTCCTACAATATGTACATATATATATGGGCAAACACCGAATTCTATTAGCTTAGAATTATGATCTTTGGAAGCGCAGCTTTTAAGTATCAGTATCTGCGTAAACACTTCATCTGTCTCTCATCCTTTAATCTTTATGCAACTATTGAAATGTAACATTATAGCATTATAAAAACTAATGAATATTTGTTCCTCTTTGAAGATTTGACTGCATTATCACAAGGGAAGATACCTGGCTATTTTAAAAGTAAAGGTGTCAGAGGAAAATATTTCTTTAGCTGATGTGTCCAAATGAGAGATTGCTTGTAACTAGAGAGTAAAGCACGTTGAAGAGAAAACTCCACAATGTCAGTTTGAGAGTCTCAGTGCTAACAAGTTAATATAACTTACAGTAAGTAGCAACTGCTTCTTAAGAAGGAAAAACAATGCTGTATTAGAGGGCTCCAATATCTATTCTGTCCAGAACATCTTTCTTGTATTTTAGCTAACAATTAGTAAAGTAGTTTGTTCACATTATTCTTAATTGAATATCACTTTGAAAATGATAGAACTAATTTAAGCCATTGTTGCATTTTCTGTTATAGACCATTTCATTACCAGCAACAGTTTTGAACCTCATCACTATGGTTTTTCTGTATCTTTTCTATCTTTTTGATGATGTATGCCTAGCAAGACAGACAAATTCTTTTAATTCTGTAGTTTGACCAGTTAAAAAGGACTTACTTACCCTGTCTTCTTCAGCTCTTAAGTCTGGCATTGTGCTAACACAAAGGCTTATAGCTGTGGTGGCCACAAAGAGAATGGAGAGACAAGCAAAGACTTTGCCTGGGAGTCCTGACTGGGGATTTTCTACCATATCTCTGAGTCTGTTCATAAACTGTCCAAATTTGGTTTTCTCATCCAAGACACATGTAGCTTCTTTGCTCCTCCGAAGCTCCTCTTCTTTGCGTACCTCGGCCAACTCCTGCAGTTTTTGAAATAGTTTTCGAAAGCAGCAGTTCTCCAGGTTGGATTCCTCAATCCCCCAGTATCTCAGCTCCTCCTGAAAAGACAAGGCACACATGTCGCTTAAGAGCATCAGCTTCCCTGCTGCTAGAAAGCTGACAATCATCCCAAAAGCATTGGGGTTCCTGTCAAAGAAGAACTCGTGGGTGTCTTCATCGTAATCATCACACAGCTGAATTATTTCTTCATAGCTGCTGCAAAACTTAAGTTTGCTCAGTCTGGTCAGGGGAAATTCATCTAAAGTACTCCAAGGTAGCAGGTACTTGATGCCTCCAACATTTATCATGATCTCTGTCTTTAGATCGACTGCAGAGACTTGATCAGGATGGTAAATCCTCCTGGCTCTCTGGTAATGGACCCCTTTGACAGAAGGGGTTTCAACGGAGACAGGAAAGAAGTGGGTCAAGGAATTACAAGAATTGTAGCTAACGTTACTATAGTCTTGGTCACTGCCTCTGGAGAGAATAGGCATCTCTAAGAGTTCTCACTGGGACATCCGAAATGGCATCAGAGCAGGGTTATCTGTCAGCCAAAAGATACAGGAAGGAGGAGAAAACATAGTAGAGGTTATTGCAAGACAAAATGTGTTTCAGGCTACTTTCCTAAATCACAAAATTAATGAGTGACTGTTTTGTAAGTAAAAGGCACCTCTGTGCTTCTTCCTGAAATCTGCAGCCTGTAAATGCGATTTGCTTTGCAGCCTCATTGGTTGTCTGGCAACACACAGACACAGAGGAGAGCTAAAGCCTCATTCATAATTATCGCAAAGGGTCAGATGCCTGCAAATCCAAATGTGAACAGATCGGTCTCTTCTCTGAGCAGATCTCGGTCATCGTTCTATCGTTGTATTTTCCGGTGGTTGTTGCTTTGCTTTCTTATTTCTATAAACCCTTAAATACATGCTAACTCAACTAAGCTGCTTAATACTTATTAGAGTTAGAGTGGTCAATTACCTGCCATCAGCTGGATGCAAAGTTCCTAATTGCTTTAACTTGAATGCTCAGATTGCAATTCCTCTTCCTTTCACTGCACGCCTGTTTTGCCTGCCTCTCAGGGGTAATGCAAGGATTAGCTAGTAGCTGTTTGTAAAATGCCTTAAGAGGTAAAGTGCTCTGTAAATGACGACTATTCTTATCAACCCGGTCTTATGTCACTGTGAATTACTGAGAAGATATAGGGAACATTTGCCCACCCTGGAGAAAACAGAAAGCAAAGTATTTTACCGGCTCGGGGGGGAAAGCAGTTGAAAGATGCCCCCACTTCACTTCCCCCTTTCAGGAGCAAACCCCTGGTTTTGTTCATAATGTCTAAAGATTCAAAGGCATCACTTATTACCCCAAGTCAGTGAACTGCAAAAATTGCAAGGAAACTTCCCCGAAGTTACTTACCACCGTGCCACGGGCTGCTGCCCGGTGCCTGGCTTCCCCGCAGGTGAAGTACACATGCCGCAACAGATCAGCTGTCCTCTGAGTTACAATCCAGCAGAAAGACCTGGGGATATTTTACAGTATTGATTACATGAAAAATCACTATAGCACTCTGGAGATTGCAGTCTCTTTCCTCTTTCTCTTTCTGTCCTTCCTTCCTGGAAAGGGAAAATATTCATATGTGTTCATGTAATATATGTTGTACTAATAGATCCTTTGCAAAGGAGACAGCGTCCAAAGTGGCAGCTCCTCTTCTGGACTCCTGGAGCTTCCTGGAGAAATATGCTGAGTGAAAGCTGGTGGATCCTGCCCTCTCCCTGTCTCTCCTCTGTTTCCCTTGGGACTGTCAGTGTGGTCCTGGAAGAGGAGGGGAGAGGGAAGGGGGAAGGGCTTAGAAATAATCTCTCCAGCATCCCTCCGTCTATTCAGCAGGCAGCAGGCAGCAACTGGGTAAGAACATGGAGTACAAGGACAGGCTCCGACTAATGAGGTTTAATAATAAGTAAATTCTGGCAAACCTACTTAATAAAACAATTTCAATGTCTATTAACTCCTTCGGTTGTAGTCATACCACAGTTGCTTGCTCTGGAGACACCAGTCAAATTCCTCAGGAGCAGTTTCCATGTCCTGCATCCCTCTTGAAACTGGGATTTGCTCTTAAGTATCCCTAGACAGAGAGGGAAGTTTGTTGGGTCCATGGATGCTGGACCTCACCATTCCTTTGGCTATTAGGGAAGTGCTTTCCTCCCATAAAAGAAAGGGTCTCTGGCTTGCAAAGAATAGGTGCTGAGCACTCTCTTTTCCAGATCTGCAGTGCTCTTCCAACAGCCAGGAACTTTTTCCTTTCTTCTGTACAGATGATGGGAAATCAAACATACTCCTTTTCTCACTTGTCTCATACATGGCTGTGGTGGGGGTGAGCTTGCTGTAATGCTTGTGGATTCTGTACTGCCAGCAGGTCTTGGACTGCCTCAGTCTAAAATTGGGATGACATGGATTTGACCCCTATTCTGCTTGCTTGGCCTCAGTCAGAGGGTTCAAGAAACCTACAATCAGATCCTATTGACAAGTACCCTCTGTGGTACTCCCAAATGCAGCAAGAAATGCCTTAGCTTATGTTCATACCCAGCGTGGCTGAAAGCACTGAACCTGAATCCTATTACTAAAGAGGTATGTGCATCTGTAGGATTTACATGTCCCACTGTGAGTATGAAGGTCACGTGGAGAAGCGTTTGTGAGCTTGGATCACAGAGGTGCTTTTCTGCCATTTGCACGTGGGTACAAGGTGCAGGTGGTACCCTTTGCTTGCACTGTGCTACTTGCCCGTGTAAGGGTCCCTCGTGGGACTCGTGCACTGCTGAGCTGACGCACCTCGGAAGCGGACGCTGCAGCTGTTTATCAGTGCTGAGCAATGCTATGGCACAGCCTAGGATGGGAAGCTTTGCTAATTGGACTTTTTGGCACATCTCTCTTGGCCCACGTGGTGCCCAGAAGATTAACTTCTTATCAGACTTCACCACTGGGGTTTTCACTCAAGTTCTAATTATGCCATCCACAGAGAAAGACCAGACAGATGCCTGAAGGCAACTGAGTTCTGGGAGCATAGCTCAAAATCACTTAAATCCTACCACCTTTGTGCAAGATGCAGTTTGCTCTGCCTATCAGTCTTTCTTATGGATTATTTTTGCAAAGAAAAAGCAAACCTGTTCTAATTAACTTTGGATGGATTGTTTCACAAAAGGATAAAACCAATTAGCATTTCCTACTTACCTTGTGAAGCCCTTGTGTGGTGTTGCTAAAGGTTATATTTCTGAAACCAGCTGGCAGGAAGATGAGTAAATCCAAAACAATGAGTAAATATTGTAAATAATTAAGTAATTTGAGTGTTACACTTATTTATCAAGAAATACATATATTTTAACATTTAAGACCTCACCTCCAGTACGAGGCACCCTAATATTTGCTTTTTGGGGATCTGTAGCAGTGTCTGTAGCTAGATCAGGAACTTGTTGCCAGCTAGAACCTTACAAGTATCTGTCAGTCAGTCCTTAAGAGTCATCTGTCTTCATAAATGAAACAGAGTAAGGATAGAAATATTTTTATCTCCATTTTATTAACAGGATATGAAGGTACAGAAAAGAGAACTACTTTATATGGTGTCTGAGAAAGCCAGGCCCTGAAGCCAGCTCTGCGGATCTTAAACGTGTAACTTACCCCCAAAGCTGTCCTTCCACTTTGGCCAGTCTCTGCCTTCTGTTCTTCTGGACCCTACTACCATGTCTGTATGAGATCCTCCTTAGTAGTGGAGTATCTAGAACTATTAAAGCTGACACCACAAATTGAAATCTCTCCCCAGGTGGGAAAGGCATGTTTCCTGGCTCAAGTCGAACCTCTGCTGACATGTTTTTTTCACTTTTTTTTTGTTTTTCATAACTACTGCTCTAGTCTTCCTGTTAAATTCCCTTTGGATTTGCCCTATTCAGTAGGAAGCTCATAATCTTTATTCTCTTTTCTTGTTCTCTATTTTCCTTACAGTTCCTGGTAGTGCACTCTCCTTGCTCCTTAGCCATCTGGTCACATCAACTTCTTTTACATGCCCTTTATGCCTTAAATGCAGTTTCCATATGCTTCGTTTATTTATTGACATGAATGACATTCCTGTCTCCTCCCTATTGTTTCCTCCCTTTTGTTGTTTTGCCATTCTACTGTAATTTGTTTTAGACTTGCCTCTCACATCCCCTTTGTACAAGGGCAACATGCTACTGCTGAGAAGAAAGCTGAGCAGAAGAGGTAGTTCTTACTCAGATGGCTCCAGGGACAAAGCAATTACACACTGTGGTACAGCTCTCTCAGCTGGACTAAGCCTAGCCGTATGTAAACTAAGGTTAAAGCCTCAATCATCTAGGCTGTTTGGTAATTGATGGTGTAACTCTTACTGAACTCAAATTCAAATGCACACAGCAGAGATCTACTAGGCTGGCTTGAAACCTTGTGGGTATGATGGTGCAGTTATTGCCATGTACCTGTGACGTGCAGAGGAGTATCTGGTAAGAGACATCCATTACAGTGAGCAGATTTTTCTTAGATAGTTCAATAATGAAATCATTTGCAGGGCTAGTATTAAGGTATTGATAATAGTGAAATGCTGTAGGAAATGGGAAAGCCAGTGAATGTCACTGGCTTTAATAGCTTGCTTACCTGTGATTTCATCTGTATTTTGTTCTCTGCAACTATGCCAGAATCCTGTATCAAGCAGCAGATATATACAGAACATAGATATACAGAACCAGCAAGCACTTTTTTCACCAAGCACATAATAAAACTGCAGAACTTATTGGCACATGATGTCGTGGTGGCCAAAAGTGTAAGGTATTCGGAAAAGGAGTGAGCAAATTTATGCAAGGAAGGTCCACCAGGCAGATCCAACGTCTGGCACAGAAAATCAGTAACCCACGTATTGCTGGGCAGCAGAGAGATATTTTAGTGGAAATACCACAACGTATATGCTTGCCCTGTTCTGGTTTTTCCTAGATTTTTGATAGATGATGTACATGGGGGCTGCACAGACCCTGACCCTATGGAGATGTTCTTATGCTGAGAAACCCAAGGAGGGTGGCTTGGGCTCTACTAGGTTGGTCCTGCATTTCTGGGTTGATCATGCACTACTTACCTGGCAGTATTTCTCTGTCAGAACAGCAAAAAAGAGCTGAAGACAAAACTCTGATTATATATGTATGTGTATGTATATACATTCAAGACTAATGATGTCTATATATAATGGGCAATCTCTCAAAGGGGTAGACTGTACACTCAAATTGTATGTGCTTGCAGGTCTTCCAATCATTCTGCAGGGAGCAGGCATGTAATTTAATAAAGGCACTGTTGTCAATCTTCCTTCCTTCCCAACTGGGCTTTTTGTAATGCTTAAATATAATACAAAGGTAATTACTTTGCCTGGCATCTATAACAGAAGACGCATTTCAGGCTTTTAAAGTCAGAGAGAAAACAAAAGTGTAAATCAAAATAAGTATTTAAGGAAATATGA